TCTCCCTCTTCTGCTTTGTATGAGCTGTATCCCGTTGTCATCGCAGCTCTCCTTTGGGGGCACGAATGGTCCCAGCACTCCATCCTCATCCATTCCTATAACACAGCTGTAGTTGAAATAATTAACAAAGGTCATTCTCATTCCTTAGCCATCATGCAACTCAAGCGCAGACTTACACTAGTTTCAGCTCAACATCAGTTTCTGCTCAGGGCAGTTCACGTTCCAGGCTATCATAACCGCATTGCTGATGCGCTCTCTCGTTTCTCCTTCCAGAAATTCAGGGCATTAGCACCTACAGCAGACCCTCATCCGACACCGGTCCCTCCGTTTTCAGCCACAATCTTCAACTGACTCCGCAGCTTGCCAGCCTCTCCCACGTTTCATAACAAGCCATCCTCAACAGCCTCGCCCCTCGCACCCTCTCGGCATATCTGACAGGCTGGCTCAGCTTCAAATCATACCACGTAATGTACAATTTACCTTTTCCCGCTCTCCATACCATGTCCATTTGTCATTTCATCACCCATTCACATTCCATTCTTCGAATTCACATTTCCACCATCCGAACCTACCTTTCAGGTATCAATTTTTTCTTTAAGCTGGCCACAGGCAACTCCTGTCCAGCCCTTAGCCACAGCCACGTAGCCATGCTGCTCGAAGGACTTAAAAAGCAGGAGCCCCCTTCACTCCCACTCCATCTTCCGTGCACCACTGATCTCTTCAGAAGCTACATCCTCACCCTGCGCTCTGGCCATTCGTCTCCGTTCGTAGACCTTACACTACAATGCATGTTYCTGTTGGCTTTCTTTGGTTTCCTTCGCTGCTCCGAATTCGCCMCTTCTGCCTCCAAACACGACCCTTCCATCCACCCRTGTCTCTCAGACRTTTCTTTCCTCARYCAGGACACCCTGATTTACAACCTCAGGAAAAGTAAAACCGAACAGCTCGGAACTTMTTTTCCTATTCACATCTTTCGTCTCAGCTCCTTTCTCAGCCCCTACGAACCTCTCGCCCATTACGTGCAAACTCGCATTAGAGCTAACGCTTCTCCCCTCGACCCTCTATTCATCACAGAATCAGGCTGCCAGGTCACCCGTTTCTGGTTCGCCAAACACTTCCATCAGGTCCTGAGCAAATCAGGCGTCTCTCCAGTCCTTTATTCCATCCATTCCTTTCACATAGGAGCTGCTCTTCAGCTTCCTATTCAAGGATCCCCGACCACATTATTCAGATCCTAGGTTGCTGGTCGTCCCAAGCATACCGCACTTACATGCGCGATCATCCCCTCGAACTTTATCATGCGCACTCTTGACTCGGGGCATTTCATCCCTGATACTTTTGGGGGTCCAAAGCTGGCTCAGGAAAGCATCCTTCCTGGAGACCATGCCCCACTCTGATGCTTCTCCTCAAGCCTCCTTCGACGTACCTCCCCAGACGCCTCATGATTCATCCCCACTACCCTTCAACCCCTTCCCTTCAATAAAATTTTTAAACTCTTACCATGGTGTGGTCCTTGCTAGTGAAATGAAGTTAAGACATTAACTTAGGTTCGGGAGCAGGAGCACGCCTCTCACCTGCAGCAAGTCGTCGTCTATTTTTAACTCGCCTCACCTGGTGTCTACCCTTAGCTCGCTGTCTCGACACCCACCCTCCCCTTTCAGCCCACTTAAGCCCCTCTGTAAGGCCTCATTGCGTCAGCTTCTTCGCTCCCTTCATCCCTTACTCATCCCTTCCTTCCTTCGTCCCTTTGCCCTTCCCTTATCCCTTCCTCCCTTCATCCCTCCCTCGTCCCTTCATCCCTCCCTCGTCCCTTCATCCCTCCCTCGTCCCTTCATCCCTCCCTCGTCCCTTCATCCCTCCCCTCGTCCCTTCATCCTTTCATCCCTCCCCCATCCCTTCATCCCTCCTTCATCCCTTCATCCCTCACTCATCCCTTCATCCCTCCCTCATTCCGTCATCCCTCCCTCATCCCTTTGTCCCTTCATCCCNAAACGTTTCATTAGAGAAGAACCCGTCCAGAGGACCTATACAATTTATTTTCTTTTTGATTTTTTACCTGGATTACTGAGATGCATCAGGATATTTTTTTATTTGTTTTTAGACAGGTAAAACCTGGTGAATTATTGTTYATTTAAATGATAAAACCTACAGTTGTGATCAAATGAAAAAAAGTGTAAAAAAATCACATCCACTAGAATAAAGTTTAAGTCTGAATCTAAACTTTTAAACAGTTATCACTTTATTAATAAAATACAATTATCTCCTCTTTCTTCTGCCTCAAGTTATTTTTGAGACAATTAAGTGTCTTTCAGAAACTCCCCATCAGAGAGAGAATGATAAGCACTGTAGCTAAAATTAGTGTTTGAATAAGAACAGCTCCTTCTGTTCATTATCCTGTTTTTTTTCCCCCTATAGGCAGTTATTTAACCTTCCTACGGTCAAACCTATTATTTTCCTGACAAAACATGTCCTCTGTGTCTATTTGCAGTTGATTAACATCTAATGAAAACTTGCAGGTAATCCAACTACTTTTATAAAAAGCTTTACTGGGTCCATACTTTATTCTCAGGATTTTAATTGTTTTAATTGTTCTCCTGTTGTTTAGTTTTCTGTTGTTTTTTTCTCATCTAACTACTTTTATTTGTGCTATTTTAGTCATGTAATAAAAAAAACATTCAGTTAATTCAGGAGATGGGTTCTGTGACCTTCGGTTTATAATTTTCACAGTATTTAACTTTATTTACAAATATTTTCCACACAGATGAAGATATTTTAAAGTACATCAAGAATTTGTTGTCGTTAAAATTTGCTTTGAGAAACGTGCTGTATTTTTGGCAGTTTTTATACCCTTTGGAGGCTTTTAGCTTTTAGTTAGCTAGCTACCCTTCTGCTACTTTTAGTTTTCAACTTGTTTTGCAACTTTTAGCTTTTAGTTGCCTTTATGTTATTTTTTTTTGTTTTAGCTAGCCTTTTGCTACTAACACTTCAATAAACTCTTGCTTCTTTTAGCATTTAGCTATTGTTTCACAAATTTTAGCTAACCTATTGTACTTACCACTTAGCTAGACTCATGCGTGTTTTAGCTTTTAGCTATTGTTTCATTAATTTGAGCTAGCTACCCCTCTGTTAGTTTTCAACACGTTTTACAACTTTTAGTTGCCTTTATGCTATTTTTTAGTTTTAGCTAGACTTTTGCTACTTACACTTCAATAAACTTTTGTTTCTTTTAGCATTTCGCTATTGTATCACTACTTTTAACTAGTCTTTTGCTACTTTAAGTTTTCAGCTAGTGTTGGTAGATTTTCAGCTCTTTTAGCTTTAACAACTGTTTTGCCTTCTTCGT